ACCATCATATTATTGCCATTTTAAAAATCTACTATTCTTAACATGAAATATTACCAAATTTCAACACAATTCATGTTTCCTAGACAATGAAATTATGATTATACAAAAATTATGTATAAACAAAGTGTTTCCAAGAACAGTAATCAACTTGTATTTATCTCCGTCAGGAAATGTTTATGACCAGATTTATTGTTCAAAATGTAACCATTACAGATAATTGGAAATTTCAGTTAATATAAATCAAAGCGATTATGAGAGTATCAGATACATGGAGATAATGATTCAGTAGTTTGTCTGAGCTACTACAGATCAAATCAGTTTGACTACTCTTTTCTTGAAACTAGTTGGTTTTCACAAGATATACCAAACCAACAACAACATTTTATTTTTCTTTCAAATTGTGACTTTGCATAACAACCTAATGTCCTTAACTTTATCACCTTCACTATCCGTGTGACTCCAGAATTGCTCCGTCGATTTCTGTCATTCTTCAAGCGTTCAACTGATAACTGAAATCTGCCTTGAACTGTCAAATGGGATTCACCAATGATAGCTGCTGCATTAACATAAATTCATTCGAAATCGCATAATCTTTTATGCCGATTATATGTAGTTGGGAATGTCATGAAACGTTTATGTTACTTTTTGTGTAATCTCCAACTGTAAATAGAATTAAACATGCTACAATCTGGAAAAAACATTCATTTGTTCTTCCGTGAGATGTTAACTAAAAACCTGGACAGATAAATAGAGAAATATTCACACGGTGAATGTGCCTTCTAGCTTATCGGTCAATGATCAAAGTGTCAGATGTGTATAGAAGACGAGTTGTGACTGAAGAAACGAAAATGGTGAACAAATTTAAAGTTCATATTGTAACCATCATAAATATTCAGAAATTTAGGTTAACATGAATCGAAATGATGTAAATATACTACTTTAATTTATTATTATTATTATTATTATTATTATTATTATTATTATTATTATTATTATTATTATTATTATTATTGAATAGTTTTGATTCTCCGATTTTCTTTTTGTTCATTTCTTATCATAGTCTTTGTTAGAAGTGGATCGGACAAACATTGAGGAAAACATCAAACTGCATAAGGAGGCAAGCCCTGACTTGAACTTCTGAAGGAAAGTGGAAAAGAGGAAAGATAAAGTACACACTACGTTGGTAAATAGAAGCACAAATGTAGAATGAATAACAACTGGAAACAAATGGAAAGAATTGTTCAGAACAGAGTTGGATGGAGAGTGCTGGTGAATGGCCTATGGTTCTCCACGATGTATAACAGGCGTAAGTAAGTAATCATATTCTTTAGTGTTTACTCTTTAATATTAACTCTATTATAACTAAATTAATTTCGGTACTAATCAACTTGTTGATTTCATCATCTTTTTGTGCAAACACATTATGCAAACTTTTGGTAATACAGATTTCTGTCAGTTTAGATTTTAGTTTTGAATAAACAACCGAAGTTATGTGCTGGCTTGGTGATATGTGAGAAGACAAAACCACATCCTTGTATTCTTACTTTGCTAATCTACGTATAGCTTGATGTCAAATTGACTGAAATCATTTTTGACTGATCGTTATTTTATTGTAGAATAACTTATCATTTAATCAGTTTTAATCTCTTAGGACATATTACACTGAATTAAATGTTATGAAACCATTTATCCAAGGATGTCAATGATCTTCCTCAGTTAGTTCTATCAGTGATATTATGTTCTGTAGTCCGTCAGATGTCACGTGACAAAATTGCTAAGCAGGATACCGACTTTAATGACTTTATTCATGTGCTAAACCAATAATATGTCAAACAGTACTAACAGCCTCGAGTCATGTCTGAGTCTTTATTGGTCACTTCAGGTATTAATGCAGTGTTTACAATTAGTTAGGATAACTAAAAGTAAAAGACAAAAACAGGACACCACTCGAATCTAAGTGTTGGTTTGACAACGTACATTTTGCACTATGGAGAATTTGTCAAAATGTTATATGGAATTATAAGATTACATTTAATGAATTTTCAAATCAAAGAATAAGGGTCATGCAAACTGTCATAGTGGTTAACCTAAATAAAAGTGGATATATATATTGAAGCTCTTTCATGGATGCGTTCCTAAATGTGAATGTAAGCCAGTCAACAGCTTAATCCTTAAATATATGATCAACTCTAACCACATACCTCCTCGAAAATCATTGTTTAGGAATATCTATGTATTAAAACAACTGGTTCAAAAAAGATTTGTATCAGACATTTGTACGCGGCTAAAGCTATCTCAATTCAACAATTTAAACCTGGCTTCTGTGTACAAAAGATTTATATTCACTCCCTTATTTTACCATTGCCCAATTGTCTTTACTTTTCCAAACAGTTAATGTCATTTGTTCTCTTATTGGTTTAAAATCATTTCTATATTCTTAAAGTAGGTATTGTCTTCTATAAATTTTTGTTTCTTACTGCATCCAAGACTATTACATAAATTATATTCAGTACTTAAAAAACAAGCAGTTGTCTTTGATAACATCGTTCCATGACGTAACATCTATTTTTTCCATCGATTGTCATACGTAAAAGTAACTAAGATCGCAAGTCAAGTTTTGATAAGCTTAAATCTGATTGACAGTATTACATAATCATCATATTCTAGGACTGAGATGTATGGTGATGAAATAGTAAATATCAAATAAACATTATCGAATATCTTGGTCTTTATGAAATATAACCAATCGGACAATGTATACGTCAGTAATCATTTTAAAAGTGAACATTTCTGTTAACCACTTTCAAACTATATTCAAGTATTCATCCATATAATACGTTCTAATCAACAAACACGTTTTCATTCAACAGACAAAACAGGATCAAATTATCTATATTACACTTTTCAAGCTTTTCTAATTAGCGTTTTTTCAGCGAGTTAGTTTTCTACGGGATAGAATGGATAATCCCATGCCCAACCTTTCTCCTTTATCCGGGTTTGAGACCAGCAGTAGCCTTTGAGGGGCCCCAGGCAGAGTTACACTCTTCAAGCAATCCATGATAAAATACCATCATAGTACATAAACTAATGAGTAATACTAAACGAAAACAATATTGTAGTAGTTGAGATCATGATTAGATTGAAGCTTCAACTAGTCGACGTTTAAGTTAAATAGAACTAACCTTTTGTTTAGTTAAAATCTTAGTAGATTAGTTCACATGTCTATTTGACAAGCAATATATTTCCGCAATTCCGATGTCACAAAACTATCCTCTTTTTAAAACAATTAGTATCTTTGATAAATTTCAATAATGCAATGAGAATACAAAGTTTAGAACAACATATATAAGCGAACAATATTGTTTTCGATTAGATCCTCATCAGGCTTTACTCTAATATACAGTAATATTTATATGCATATACGAAATTATTAAACCAATCAAGGTAGTTTATAAATCGTGGTTAGGAAAAGGTTACGTAAAGACAATACGCAGCTCAGTTCTTTCACACTTAATCGATAGTGGTCCTGTAGTGGACAGAAATAAGTCATTTAAAGTTATTTATCGTATTCCCACTAATTTTCCCTATGGTGTTCGATCTCGTCTCTTACGCATAGCAGAAGCTATAGGAATTCGAGCCAACAAGCCGAGTCTTTGTGTTCAGAAGAAATTTGTAACACCCTTATCTCTCCCTCGGCCTTAATAAATGAATTTATTTATTATTTTCTTTTCAAACCTCTTTGTTTATTAATTCTTCTTCACCCCCTCCTACCATTTTATTTTTATTTTTTCACGGTTCAATTATCTGAACACTTCTCATTACGTCATATAATAATTTTTATAAATGTTATCTCACTACCTATATTTTTCTAATCATTGACCTATTTCCGATTATGTAACGTTGATTTGAGCCTTTATTATTCTTATAAAAACTAGTACACCTGTCATCACACTATCAATTTGTACTTTTCACATATTATGTAATCGTTTTATTCATCGTTATCATTGATTTATAAACTACCTTGATTGGTTTAATAATTTCGTATATGCATATAAATATTACTGTATATTAGAGTAAAGCCTGATGAGGATCTAATCGAAAACAATATTGTTCGCTTATATATGTTGTTCTAAATTTACATTATGGGAATATTTCAAATTTTGAAATACAAAGTTTATCAGAATTATGTGTTAATAAAGGGCTTAATTAATAGAATCAATCGTATTTGTACTAGTGATACTATTGAAGTAGAGACGAAGCTCTTAACTGATATGTTAATGAATAGTGGTTATTCTTTGAAGTTCATAAACCGCTGGAAGGGTTGCAATACGACTAGATCTGTGACGCTTCTGGCACCCGAAAAGCGGGTTTATATTGTTACCATTCAGAGGCGACACAAATAGTTTCATGTTGAAACGGAGACTTAAATTAGCTAACAACCGGATATTTTATGCAGCCCAACTTGTCATTATCGAAAAGACAAGGTCTATGTTTCACCAAAAGCCCAAACAGCACGAAAGCGATTGTGTCACATCCCATTGTGCCTATCAATTTACATGTATATATGGAAACATGTAAGTAGGGTAGAGCAATCGTGATTTGCAATTAAGGGTGGGTGAACACATACCAAAATGGTTGCAGAAACAAATAGATTTCAATAGTCAAATAAGATCACAGGATAGACAGACATCATCCTCCATTGCGAAACATTTGATTGAGACTGGTCATAAGACAGTATTTGTAGTGTTACACAAAAACTTCAAGGACGTATACTAAGGTTTATTGAAGCCTTGGCTATACGGAAATCGAAACCCCCTTTATGTGTTCAAAAACAATTTGTCCTTACACTTAACCTACCCTGGTAATATTGATTTATTATCCACAGTGGCAATCACACTTGTTTTTGTGTACTTTAATATTTTTTTCCTTTGTTATGGCTTACCATTGACCTTTTAATTTTCATATATAAATATTCTTAACAAGTACATTATGCGTGATTAGATTGTTCGAAATGTATCGCGCAAATATATCACATAATTCTGATAAACTTCATCGTCTCATTGCATTAACCTCTTTTTAATACTACCGTAAGCTAAATGTTGTTTCACATTATGCGCTATTTAGAAAGGAGAGTGGTTTTTTCCTCTGACTGTATTTTATAGTATTGATCGTTTAATTACGATTCAAGACTAATATTTTTACTTTAATTGACTTTATTTCAGTTAAAGTTGTATCCAAGACTATCGTTTTCCTCTAAAATAAATTTATCATCTGTACTATTTGAGTACAGATACAAAAAAATATTGATTTTTTTCCTCACTGAGTATATCATTTAGTATTGTTTGTATCTAAAGGTGTTAAAGTCTTTTTGTATCTACTTAAGTCAGATATTTTTTGTTATTATTTATGTTAGTTACAGTAGCATACAAACCTCTGTTTTTTTTAATATTCAACGTCTATCACCTACATAGCCTTAAAAGACACTTATTCTAGAGATCAGTTTTCGTTGTTCTTCCTGTGAGATTACTAAACAATTTTATGGTGCAAGTAAAACATTGTTGTCGCAGCCCTGCATGTTATTTCCCGGTTGATGATGGAATACAATGTGACAACTGCAATAACTGGTATCACAATATGTGCACCGGACTCACACCGGCTGCATATAAATGGTGCTGCAAGTCACGATCAGGTTGGCTGTGAAAAGCATGCTGTTCTATAAAGTCTCTGCTGATTCTTGAGGCGATTCAGCTGTTGAACATAGCTAGAAAATTGCCCTCAGATAAACAGGAAGCAGTAGATGAGCAGAATTCAGCTATCGAGGAAACAGAGAGCGTTATCATGAGCCCAAATTTAGATTTGAAAGAGAACATCAAGATGGACCGTTATAGAAGCGGATAACAAGCACACAGATGTAGGCATTGTTACATGGAAAAGGAAAAAGCACGCTAAGAGGAAGCAAATTATAGGCAGCACTAAGGTATGTGGATCTACGGTTTCAGTTCCGGATTCACATATCAACGCGAAATAGACTGGGAGGGAGTAAAGTCTGAGTGGTGTAGAGGATGTGATCAAGAGACAAAATAAGGTAAATGATTGGCTTACAATTACACCTAAAAAAAGAAAAGTAAGTAGACAGAGTAAGACCTCTGCGTTTGATGCCGAATCGGAATCAGATTGCAGGAATTAAAATTTCCCAGTGTTAAGAGACTCTTCTGAAAAGGAACTGGGGGCTGGGTTTGAGCACGACTTCGGTCACATCAAGTCCTTAATAAGCGAGCTGCTTCCAGAAACAGTTTCACGAGTTAGCGTCTGTAAGCTTTATAGGATAGGACAGAAGGTGGATTCCGAAAGCACGCAGACGAGCCTCCTCTCAAAGGCTACCTTTGTTTCGGCCGAAGAAAGAAACCTGATACTGTAAAACTCATGCAAAATGACTGGATCCGGAATATACGTCCATGAAGATCTCAGCCTAGTTGACCGTATTAAGAGACGATCGACAGAAGTAAGAATAAATGAGCGCCGCCGAAACGGTGAAAGAAACCTAGTACTTAAGGTTTTCAAATTGCAAACGTTCGAAGAAAAATGATCCCCAAACCAATCTGGGTGGTAGGAGAAAGTTCTCCACAAAATTAAAGGTGTGGTACACAAACGCTCGCAGCTTACTAAATAAAGTGGCGGAGCTCAAGAGAATGGTGCATATAGAAAAACCGGGTTTTACTGCTGTCTCAGAAACATGGTTAACGTCAGAAGTGTTTGATAATGAAATCCAGTTGACTGGTATTTTATCCAGTAGCGCTGATAGATCAAACCGTGGGGGGTGTGGGGTTATCTTTTGCACGAAAAGTACTTTAAGCATACGAGCTGTAGAGACAGTGGCACACGACCCAGGGATATGTAAGCTGGTGCGTTGCAGGTTGAAATATAAACGGCAAGATATTGAATTAGTTGTAGTATACCGCAGTCTAGAATGAGTGGTAGATGAATTCTTCCTAAGCCAACTGAAGTCCTAGTGCAATAGGGGTAAAAGCCTTATAGTAAGAGACTTTAATGCACCGTATATAAACCGGGCGAACTTAGAAACAGGGTCATCGACAACGTCATTTGATTGCAAACTGTTAGAAACCTCGATTGCACAAGCTTTATTACAACACATTAGAGATCCCATCAGATATGACTGAAGCTCCTAGTCTCTCTTGGACTTAGTCTTCACTCGGTGATGATGTCAGTTGAATGGCTTTCCTACCACCTCTAGGGAGAAGCGATCATGCACTCATATTATTCAAGTTCATGGCTGAGATGGCCTGTCAAATAGTCACGCCGGCCTTTCCTAACATATGAAAGGCAAACATGAAGGCGATCAACTCTACAGCATCGGCTGAAGACTGGATAATTGACACAGGAGAATCAGTATATATATTACTTACTTTATATATATATATCAGTGTAGCATTTTCCATAATCAATGAGAAATAACTTGACCAGCTGTGAAAATGATAATGACCCTGAGAATGTTACACGAAAACAAAGTCGTATAGATTAAGTATCGTTACAAATCATGTAAACTATATAGTCTTCCAGACCTCTATTCTAATGTATTCTAACACCATAAAAATTAGGGTAATTTACATAAATGTATACTTCACAAGTATAAGTTTTAATGAGATAATCTATCTGATATTTTATACCTATGCCAAACATGTATAAACAAACACAAAGGATAAACAATTGTCTAGTTGAAGTTCAAATATATTTTTGTAGGGAAAGGTGTTAAGAAAATAAACATAATTTAGTGACGAATAATATATTTATCAGCCAAGTAAGTATATGCACATAATAGACTATTGATTAATTATAAGTCCAAAATTGATTGACTGATTAGACATATACAACGATATTTATTATCATAAGCAGTGACGGATAGTGGCTAGCAGTGGAATCCAGGACGCACATTTCGTCCTTTTTGTGACTCTGGATGTACCTGCATCTCAGAGTTGATGTCCACTCTGGGACTTAAACTCAGTACCATTCTCTTCAAACGCCATCGCTTTATCCACTTAGCTACTGACTCCTGATAGCTATCTGCTTGTGCAATGGGGTGAAGTTTAAATCCACTTGATATCGTTTACTTGAACCTTTCCATTAATGTTTAGGACTGCAATTGATCAGTCTCTTATTGACATATGTGTATACTGTGCGTAATGCATCGATATTGCCTTAATTCACAAGCATTATAAGCAAAGATGGATAGTGAGAAGATTTAAGTAGACAATACCAAGTGATATTTACTATTATTACTTACTGTTCTGGGTGTCTTTTAATTAGTGACCCGTGAGTAGAGTAATCTTCTTCGATACATTTGTTTCCTTTCGTATATTGATAAACCACTCTCGTTACGTTTCATTGAGTATCAGGTAGAAGTTATTCCGTAATCATAACAAACAATTAGATCAGTAGCAGTAATCAATCCTTAGTTCAATTCACAACCCTTATAAATCAGTTTTATTCCAAATCACTAAAGTAGGATAGTTTTGAAGTATGATGAACACGTTTAGAGTTATTGAAATTTTAAGTATAATGTACAAAGGTACGACGTGATCATCTTAAGAAAGAATTATTAATGCCAACTCTTAAATGAAATGATATTAAAAGACAAACTGATTGTTGAACAGAATCGATTTTATGAAATAAAACAGCACAATTATGCACAAAATATAGCACACTAATACTTACTTACTTACGCCTGTTACTCCTCGTCGAAGAGCATAGGTCGCCCCCCAGCACTCTCCATCCGACCCTGTCCTGGGCAATCTTTTCTACTTTTTATTCATCCTTTTCGTATCTGTTTTAGACAAATTAATAGAGATCACTTAAAACATAAGTGATTATCCACTTCGTCTCTAACTTCATTTTTCAATTCTGAACCTTTTTTCGCTATTTCTGATGTTACCGCTAATTCGATTCCTTTGTTTTTCATCCGGTTAATTTCATAAATGTTGATTAAGTAAATTATGACTTTAAGCCCGGCTAATTATCGCATGATTTATTCGTCAATCGATATACGACTTATAAAATCTTAGTAATGTGTCAAACTGGTAAAGTTTGACCGCTATGAGCAAACTAGTGCCCTTATTGGTCCTTCGTCCTTCTAGCCCTGCCAGTTGAGTTCAGAACACCAATACCAACTCCCACTATACGAATCATTTATTTCAAACATACTTGGTTTATATACAAGACAAACAGACCACATTACACCATAAAATAGGAAATAATATTTGTACAAGATCAAGCCAAAAAGTGGCTATGAACATGGGGGACTGTAATTAATAAACTAAGTATAATTTAAGAACAGTAAATCGTATAATAATAATTTATAGGTCAAATGGAAGCTTATAATAAGAGGAAAACAGATATACACAATCTAGTTACTGAACAGTTATACCATAAGAATATATAGATAATATTAGTCCATTAAAAGTTCACAAAAGTTACCCGTAACTTAATCTTTACTAGGATACAACACAACTCTTCGCTTGATACTAATCGTTCATCCTTACTTATTATCTCATCTGTACTCAGTTAACTGATCTTGTTTTAAAAGGTTACACAATAACAACATTAATATCTTATTTCTAAGAACTTGGGGTGGTACACATTTGTTCCAGATTGTACGCTGAGTGTAACTGGCCTTATGTATAAACTCGATTCATTGTGAATACCTAGAACCGATTTGTTCTATTCTTATTTTGTTTAACCCTATAGATCATGATGAGTTGATGAAAGTTAGGTGCAAGCGAAGTATCTACGACTGAGTAAAAGAATTGAGAGGACAGGGAAGAAAAAAGAGGACATCACATCAATCTAATCATTAGTTTCGGTAAGAGACAGTTTTCATTTTTGAGACGGTGTCTGAATGTCTCATGATAGTCTGAAATCAGCTAAGATATACTTTGTTTACGGAAAGAGGTTTATATTATAAAGACAAATGTAAACAAAAGAGCATGAATGAATTTAATTATTTAGATAAGTTAAGTTCTTAGTATATGAATGATATGAGTGTATTCACTCAAATGAAGTATAAACTAGGACCAGATAGTTGTTACAAAAAACAACATGTAAGCAATAAGTTTAAATATGAAACTTTAAAACTTGAAAGAGAATTCATGGAATGTATTATCAACATAAAAACAGAATAACTTACATATAATACTTTTATGACTATTATCCATTCAATTAACTATTGACTCAGTATGTTGATTTCTATGAATACATGAAGATAATACTAAATTAAGTAAGGCAACTTGTACTGCAAATACAATGCCAACTGTACATATTAATCGAGAAAATTGACGATCTAAATGTAATGAATAAATAAGTATAGCTAAAAGAATATTCATTAAACCACATATTAATATAATGAATCGAATCGTAAAATATGAAGCATTTAAATCAAGTGATTCAGAACAAATGGTTATTAAATCTAGAATAAATGCAATAGTTAACAATACTATACCAAGAAAAAAGAATAATATTAATAATATTGAAATTGTTTGATAATTTCTGAAACATGATGTAAATAATCCACCACAATTCCAGTGATTTATTACTAAAGCTAAAATAATGAATGCAATACTGAATGGTTGAAGAACTAAGGTTAATGTCTTTGTCATTTGTATCAGATAATGTTAACTGATTGACAAGTTTTATGTATTTATTATCGATTAGTAGGTGTCTAAATTATTGGAACAATAATTTGATTTAAATTATGATTGGTTAATTCTTGTGAAATAATAAATAACCTTGGGTATGTTTGCCTTTCGTTAAATCTTTTCAGATATTTGATTGGTTGTTTATTTGACTGTCAATTTATAATATGATGGGAAATACCTAATGAGTCATGGGTTTGTTGTTCGAATGTTAAATGATTTATTACTGATAAATTACATTGATTACAAATTCCTGAGAGATCATCATTGCCAGGACTAATGCAGACCATCAATCCTCCTATCCTTTCCAAACTGAAATTGATCTTAATGGTCTACTGATTTCATAAACACAGATGCTTTTTTCTGTAACTGGTGAAAAATCTGTTGAGAGTGATCCAGAAAATTCCTCTAGAAAAAAAGCCAAAAAATGATCTGGAAACGTTGAGAAATATCTTATCCAATCAAAATTTAATAGAAGTTGTACCAGAAGTATCTAGAAAGTGAAATGTCATATGTCGAGTTTCTGATTGGATGATTATCTATGGTGCTACAATGCGTAATACAGTTTCATAATTTTCTAGAAGCCCAAGGTCCTCTAAAATACTATAAATACCCTAGATTTCCTGTACCATAAATGAACATTTGGGGTAAAGCGTTTGTTCTATGTTTCGTTCCTTTTCTCTTGTGTTCAAGTTGCTGTGTGGATTTAGACCGAGGGTTACTAGAAGAGTTTAGGAAATGAACCTAGCGTTCAATTAGAAGATTTATCAATATCAAACAATATACATCAATTGATTTCGAATTTATTCATCATTTCATTATAGTTTAACGGACTTGTCCCAAATAGTACTTCTCTTCCTTTTTATAGGTTTGATCTTGAGCTTGTGTTTCAATCGATTACCAACAGATAAACTGTGGACGTATAACTGTAGGACTTGATGATAAAGTTATTGAAAACAATTGTTCACTAAAAAGAGTCTTTGTTTAAATAAATTATGTTTCTTAGGTTTTGTTTTTAATTATTTTCCATGGTGGTCTAGCTTTAATTGACTAACGATCTCAACTATTAAAATCAGTATAATGTTCACAAAAATTCTTCTGAGATGAATCAACATATGCTTACTGGTAACTAGCTTCAAGAGGCATTTCCGGTAGTTCTAGTGAGAAGCAGTGACCAATGGAGTTCAACTGGGTATGTTATGAGATAGTAACTCACTGGATGTGTCGCTCACTTTCGTAGATTAGTTGAAGTTAGACATTAACACTGTTGGATGCCGGCCGGCTCAGTGCCCTTGAAGTTAAGCGCTCGCGGGCGAGACTGATAGGTCCTGGGTTCAAATTTCGCGAGACGGGACCGTGGATGCGCACTGCTGAAGAGTTCCACAATAGGACGAAAAGGCCTTCCAGTGCTTCTAGGTTTCCCATGGTGGTCTATCTTGAATTGATCCATGATCTCAACTATTCAAACTACTATAGGTATCATTACTAAGATTTGATTTGATAATTTCGAATAAATTGAGCATTGGGTAGGTTTTTATAAATAAATAATACATTTGTAATATCCCAATGAGTAAAAAAAATTAGATTTTCTGACGTTTCGTGACTCAGTGTTTTAATTTGGTTATTTATTCTCTGAAGAAGTGACTTACACTGAGTCACGAAACGTCAGAAAATCTGATTTTTCTACTCATTGGGATATTGCAAATATATTATTTATTTATATTCAAACTATTATTAATTATATTAATTTATAAATCATCCTTACAATTCATTGTATTACGAATCGATCATCTGATCAAATTCAAGTGGTCAGTAGAATTCAGTCTTTCTGATATTAATTTATAATAATAATAATAATAATAAGTTAGATTATAAATAAGCGGACTGTTTCTAGGAAATCTAGATCTTACTAATTTTGTTTACAGTTGAAACAGTAAGGTTTCTCGGTAGTATAATTCTGTTCTAATAATTTTATTGAACATCATGTATTTTGTCAGCAGGAGTATTAACAGATTAATGAAGGTTGTAGACTAATGAGATCTACATTATATAGACAAAAAAAATTATTAATGAATTTTTTGACGCACCAAAAGGGCATATTATATTTTCAGAATGGCCTGTGTTATACGCTTAGTATTTTAACAGTGTAAATAACTTTCTGTAGTGAGGTCTGTAGGTGAACCTTTATTTTACTTGAAGATTGTTTTGTAATGTCCAAAAAAGAGACGAAAATTCCAAGCAAAATTGGACTGTCTATACTACTTAAGAATTTTAAAACACTCGAAGTAGAAATTTTTCTGTTGACGACTGAATATTATTCAGATAAATGTCTCTAAGATTTGATTGCTATTAGTTTAGAAATTTAGTACAAAGATTTACTTTTTGGATCCAGATGTCTTTGTAATAATGGTCAAACGGAAACTTTTATGAAGACTTAGAAAATTAGGTAGTGACCGATGTTACACTTGTTCAGTAGTTTTGGGGCTAACCGAACTCTATTAATCAAGTTGTAATGCAGCCACTATTTTAAGTACCTCAACGTCACGTGCACGATATTAAGATGTTAATTGGTTGGAAATAGTCGACAGGAAACTCTGGACCTAGGATTTGTTCTAGTTAGGATGCATCAGCAAGATTACCCCCAATCTCAAGCGATATCACATCACTTAATTTAGTGGACACATTATAACTTGTTCAGCGGAATTGAATCAGCCCCAAAACTACTAAGCAAACATAACAGTGGTCACTATTTGGTGACCGATTAGTTGTAAGTTTATCTTAGTCCCACAGGAGATCAGTTACAGTCCGAAAAGCTGAGTGCTAACGCCCCAGAATTCGCAACTGGATTATACCAGATCATATCTTCCAGCGAGCAGCAGTCTCCTCGTGATTACAAGTAGACCTTATTTACAGGTACCAAGTAGCGTAAACCTAGGTTCAGGGTTTCCTGTCAGTTACCTGAAGCCACCCTACTTCAAAAGCTGTTATAAATTATATTTGAGTAGAATGGAAATATTTTTGCTACAATCGAGAAATGCCACAAAATTTCTAGCGAAAGAAATACCTTTACTTTATAGTATGAAGTGTTTAGGATCTGCAAAGATTACATACTATTGTGAAGGTTATCATATCTTAATAAATTTGTTGCATCTATGGCTTACATACTAGATGTCATTGATCTAAATACATATTACCGTCATTTTGTTCAAAAAACGCTTCAAAGAAACAGATGATATTCAGAAATATGTGTAGAATAATGACAATTATAATTGCAAGATTTATTGCCTGTACTGGAGTTATTCTACATCATGTAGTCATATTGTTATGAAAGAATAGTATGTCATACCATCCATTACTCTATGCATTTATTTGGTAAAAGTTGCTTTACAAGCAATAAATTCTAGTGAGGTTTCTAGTTCGAGCCTAAAAACTAGTGATATTTACGATTTTTATCTCTTATACTGAACTGTGCTATGCTGGACATGTTTCAAGTTAGATTGTGTATTGGATTAGACTATCTGTAGGGTGGAAACAATGTACAGGGTAGTGATCTATCAGTCTTTCTGCTTTGCACTTTCTCTCCAACCAAGAAAAGTTTGTCACAAATATAACTTACAAAATCCTACCAACTAAATTACTCAGTCTTCCAATAGGCAATGTCCAAACAGCATAACCTGTCTTACAAGCATGAAAGGAGAACATGTCCAAGGTTGTTAGTATGATTAAGTCAGTGACTATAAAAATTGTAGTTGGCTCAGTTACTAAAATGTCTACCAATCAATTCAAAGCGTACAGAACTTGTTAATTTTAAAGTTTATGTGAGTTTACTAATTTATCTCAATGGTACGCTATGCCAAACAGATGACACAAACATTATCATTGATTCTTCAACCATTCAGCATTACGTTCATCAATTTGGCATTGACAATAAATCACTGGAATCGTGGTTGATTATTCACATTATGTTTACAGAATTATAGAACGGTTTCAATATTATTGGCACTATTCTTTTGTGTTGGTAGATTTATCCTTGGTTGAATACCATTTTGTTCAAGTTCAGTAAATTTTGATCATTCATACTTTGAGAACCGACTATCAACATTACTTTTTGGTTCATTCGGGACGTGCTCAGTTATTCTTATTTATTCCGTTCACTTGGATAGTCAGTTTTTTCGATCACTATGCCTAGTCGTTGTTGTATTCGCAGCTCAAGTTGCTATTCTCAATTTAGTTCTTTCACCTTGTATGAATAGCCTATAAAATGCGTTTTTTCGATCAACTGTATTTGAAATGAACATCCCTGTTATTATATCACATATTTTGTGTCCATCGCCTACATATACTTTTAGGGATGGTAGCTGCACGCGTGACAATTAAGAGTCAGATACCACATTTTCCTTGAATGGGTAACGCTTTAAAATTAGTATCTAGTTTCATTACATCAGCAAAATTGAAGAAAATATTTTATGTTGCTCTTTTGATAGGCATTTTGAAAATTCGCATTATCATTACGATCTGTATTCAGAGTTATACATGTAACCTCGACATCATTCACTCCACAATACCAATATATGAAACAAATCATTAGGAGACACTTGTGATCATACACACTTCCAATCTACCTATTTTAACTATTTGCAAAACTCGAACATTCTGTTGAATGATTACACTTCAATCTTATAAGATGGAGAAACCCTTAACACTACATTTCTTCAAATGAGATGTTTTGAACCACATGGAGATCTGACCACACTTTTAGTTCATCACTTTCCAAAACGTTTATTCATTCTCATACATTTTACATCAGTACTGTTGCTTCAGATTTGTTCTAGTCAATTAATTATGTCTACTAATCATGTGTAACTACACGATTTCACGAGATGTTTACGATAAATCACAAACCTAATTTCTGGCAAACTCAACAAGTATCACTACAATGATTCATCTGTGTTCCAACACATCCTCTTCATCTATCATCTTA